ACGAATTGATAAACCAATGAACCCACAATCCCCCAACAATAGGCAAAGAGCACGTGCCCAACTATTTTGCCAATGCCTTTCAGGCATATGGCGCCGAAATCAGTTGGGGAACAGGCCTGTTATTAATACGCCAATCAGCATAAGCAGCTGATGCGTTGATAATGTCCAAGGGGCAGAAAACAAGGGGAAAACACTGAAGGGGGAACTAATTCGCAGACCTCTGAATCGTCAGTAGTCATAAATTCAGCCAGGGGCTAGGAAAATTGAAGAAAAAATTGCACAAGACAAGAAGCGAAAATTGCTCGAAGTACACCGAAAAAATATCAAGTATACGACCTGTTCTTAAACATAAAAAAACAAGAAAAAGAAATCTTAAAATAAATAAATGAACTAATCAAGATTGATTATTTGAGGAATTAACTTATAACTAATATACAATTTAAAAATCATTTTTCATTAAAATTAAATATATTTTTATAAACGTTTAAATCAATATTAAATACAAATTTTTAAAGGTTTGGTTAAAATATGTATAAGACAGGTTTAAGACTTAAAGTTTAGAATGATTGTTTTACAAATATTTGTTTATATTTTCCTTTTTTAAGTTGAAAAATTTATTTATGCCTACTTTTATCCTCGTGTAAAAAGAATAGACTGGTGGGACATGGGGAAAAACAACTATGTGGCCCGCCCCGCTTATCGCCAAAAGAAAATCAGCAAGCAAAACTACTGGTCTGAGCCGAAGGACTAGAGGAAGAAGCCGAAGGAAACAAGCGGAAGTGCTCGAAAAAAAAATATGTAAAGCCAAAAGAATGCCACTCTCTTCACAAAACACCCACGAACACACAAAAGGCCTGAGAGGAAGTGAAAGGAGCCAGAAGGAAAAGCTCGCGCTGTGGGTTTCCACAGGGAAAAGGACGAGGGGAGAGCAAGGATATACGGCACAGTATGATAAATAACAGATGAGCAAAGGGTGTCAGCTTTGTTGCTCCACGTCAACCCAAGGGAAAAACGGGGGCTGAGTAAAAGGAGCGGGTAAATTGGGTTCTTTGCTTATTGAATGTACGACATCGGAGCAAACACTAGCAGGAGATCCCAAACATGATGGCTGCACAGGCGACACAAAAATTACGTCTATAATTAACCATCTGGAAAGCGTTATATAAAATTATAAAACAAATACTTCATTAAGAAAGAGAGAAATAATTTAAGGCATACAATTTTATTACAATTCTGTGACTTATTTTTCCCTGTCTATTTATTATCTATTTTTGTCAAATGAAGGCTTCTAAAAAAAGTGTGTGAAAAATATTAAGTTAACTGGAATAGATTTAGAGTCTAACTCTTCTTATTTTAAATCTAAAATAGTTTGGCCTATTAATTAAAGTCATCCAGTTACTTTAAAATCTTTAATATCAATTCCAAAAGATTTCTCATTTTTTTTTACGATTTAAATTTTTGTCACCTGGGAACGTAAAATCATGAAACTAAAGTGAATAAAAAAGTACTCATGTTGAATTGTCCGCAGGATATTCTTGAGCTCCGTCGACAGTTGCAACTCTTAGTGGAATTTCCTCAAATACATTGACTGTGAGAACGTCATGAATATTAAATTGCGATTATTGCCACTGGCAATGTGAAGTCCTCTGACTTGGCAACGTTTGATGGTACTTGAGCTTAAGATATCCGGCATGTTTGGCCAGATGTTTCCAGTGGTGAGACACGACCAAGGCCCCTCGATGGCATTTCGATTTGGATGGACACGTTGAGCTTAATTAAGTGCACTTTAATTAAGTCGGCTAATAACCGAAACCTTTAAACTGTCAAATGCATGTGTGGATTTAAAATCCATCCATAGCTTTCGTTTTTGCCCATTTCGGTTTGAGTGTTGGCTTCTCTTTATCTTTATCCATTTGATTGATTAATGCCCTTCAGATGGGCGGGATGTTGGGGGCGAATAAGTGGGCGTGACACTGGGAAGTGGTAAAGTAAAAATTGCCCCGATGCTCTCAGCTTGATGTGATTGAGAATTTGATTTATTGGCAGCAAACTAAGTTTGGCCAACGTCAAAAGCAGTCATCCGGATGGAAGTTGATACTTTGCTTTTCGACATGCAGAAATACACGGAAAAAAAGATTGTATTAACTAGCTGTAACTACTTTACAATGTTTTATTATATTATGTTTAAGAGAAGAAGGAACACATTTATAGATTTAACTAACAATTTAGTCATTGAGCATACCTTGTACTTGGAATATTGTTTTCAGTGCACCCAGTTGAATATGAAAACAGAAACCTAAACCATCAGGCTATCGGTGAAAATTCAAACTGAAAGTTCGGTCTAGATGTCAGTCCCGTAAAACCTAAACATCAGTTCAAATTGGTTTTAAGCAGGTAGTACATCTAAGCACCCAAACCCAGATTTTGAATTTATTTTTCGTAGAAAAAATTTTGAGTGAACAAAATGTATCGAAATCTTTTGTACATTTTTCCGTTAATGGCGAATCGGTTGCGCAATACCGCCGCCAAGCATATGGTTGTTCGACAGGATTCAAACCAGGACCTCTTGAGCCGTTGTCAGCCAGCAGATATAGCTGGGAATAACATCAACACATCCTGGGCCACTCGATTCAGCCAGTTTCCAATTCGTAGGACCGAAGGCCTAATGAAGAATCTTCCTAAGAGCGGCGAGAACTGACGAAGCAACTGGAATAAACCAGGAAAAACAAGGATTTCTACTTTCTATACGAATTTTTATGAAATTAAGGACATCCTTCGATTGGCATTTGTAATTTTTGGTGTTTCTCCTAAGAAAGTTTTAATATTGTAACTTTTTCTAAATAATGTAACTAATCCCCAAAAATCAAGAATACGTCATTAAATAATTTGACGCTTTTTAAAAAATCTGTTATTAAAGTAACTGATTTAGATTTTTGTCTTTGTGATGGAAGAATTGTAGAATAGTATGTATGAATTTTTAGCCACAAAGTTCTTTAATTCATTTTACTTTTGTAACGAAAGCAAAAGGATAAGGAACATGCGTTAATTAATTGCAATCAATCTGCTAGTAAAGTGAAATGAACTCGCAAACTTTGATCAAGTTATCAGAGTGCAGATATGAATTTTTCAGGATGTGAAAAACTTTACCCTCTTCTTAATTAAAAGTAGAAAAGTAAGAAATTTAAAAGCTGTGAAAAAGTGTGTGCAAGGGCAAATGAAATTAAAAAGTTACATGCTACACACACATAACCCACTTTTGTAGCATTATAACCCTGGCTAGACTTTCTCTTCCTTTTCCAATCGTTTTTCCACATTTTCCAGAGCCACTCACATATGATGGGGGAAATATCCTAAGCCCATTGTGTTCGCTTGGCTTTTGTGGCTCAAGTTCGAAAGAGGCTTTGTCGTCGGAAGACTGTAATTGAATTTGGCCCTTTGTTGACAAACAAATTATTCTTGACTTAACCAGTGAGGCCATAAAAGAGTGAAGTAAATTATGTTAATTTTTTGTTGTACTCTTGGCACTTTTGCCGCATAAATGTGAATTTAATTCGGTTTACGTAGAATCCAATATATTTAATGGCAGCCAACACGCCCGCACATGGAAAACGAAATAAATTGAAAACGTTGTGGCCAGGACGTGTGGCCAGGAGCAAAGGACCAAAGGACCAAGGACACTGGACCAAAGACCAAGGTTTTTTATTCGCAAAACCGAATATCTATAGATAAATGTCCGACGGTCACGTGTGGAGCAGTATCTCCTACCCACTGGATAATGACGAAAATGGTTAATATCCGTTCGCATGGAAAAATGCGATCTTCTGAAAATAAAAAATATACATAAAAGACGTGTTCAAGGAGTGTCGTTCGCTTATTGTGCGAAAGTATGCTTGTGTAAACGGAAAAGTATTTTAATGAAATTTTAAATGCCAATCAATGGAAAATCGGTTTAAGCCGAGAGAAAGGAAACCGGAACTTCCGCGTTGCTTCGTTTTAATACTTCGTCGAGTACAAATACTTTTAATTGGCAATCCGAAATGCACATTAACCGATTGCCGCAATCCATTTTCCAGCAAAAAAGTGAAAAGCTTTTAATAAACTTTTCGTCAACTTGGAAACTTAATCGTGGCTTGTGGCTTTGAAATTGTATGGGAAACATTTTGAGGAAGGCAACCTGATTACTTGAACATTTTACGTCTATTTTATTGGCTATCGTAAATCTACACTCTAAAAAACGTACTTTATAAATGTTTTAATATACCACTTTTCAAATTATTTGAACTAAAAACAAATTTCGTGTGTAGTTATTTATTTGACATTCTAGTTATTTTGTAATCATATAAACGTATTGTATTAATTTAAGTAAAGTTATATATTTCCAAATGAATTTACAAAAATTTGTATAGTAAGTTTTAATTTTATAAAAAATACATTCGAGTGTAGAAAACAAGAATGTGTTGAAAGGACCATCTGATCCTTTTTCCAACCGCAGGATACACATGGACTAGCACACATAGCGCCGTTGCCGATGCCATTACCTTGCTCGGTTATTTATGATAATTCAAAGTAATATCCTGGAGCAATTTCATCAACAAAGACACGGGCAAGGTGGCGAGCTTATGTGGAAATGCAAATATCCTTTTCCCAGCCAAGGATGCTCTCAAACCCCCAGACCTTAATTCCACTCATAGCGGTGTGCTGAAGGAGGCCTTCGGAATGGTTGAAACGTGTCAAATGTGTGAAAATTGGGAAAATTTGTTTGTCTAATTGGGAGGGAAACGTGTGCTAGGATAGCCATTACCCGCCTTTGGGGTCTTTAATTTAACCAAAAGAGCAGGTGTGCCTTTCAGACTTTAATCGAAAGTGAATTTGGTTTAATATTACAACATGAAAAGATTTGGTAATTTAATTTTCTAAAAAAATGGAAATTTTTACTTCTTATTTATAGGAGGTATTTATGATTTCTATAGCTCCCCCGGAAAAAAGATAAGCCCCAAGTATTTAAAATTCAAAAATCTGTATTTTACATACTCTTACATAATGACAAATTTTGGACAACTTCGGACACTTTACAGGAATCGCAGATAATAAGGTACTACACATGACGGCTCACAAAACATTTACACTGACAAAGGGACTCGTCAATACACATATCCAGTAAAAATCTTCGCTATGCAGACTTCGATTCGATTTGATTCAGGTCGGTCACCGCCGACTGCTTCTTAAATCCTTCTTCACTTTTGGTTGGCGGGACAGGCCATTTGGTAGAGGAACTGCACCAGGGTTCGGGTGGGCCGTCCCGTCATGTATTTGCTGGTGAGATAGGGTATCAGTCCGAACTTTGTCAGCATGCCAGTGCCCCGGGTGTCCAGATGGGCCCAATCCACGCAGGGGACCATTTCGTGGAGTACGGCGGCCGCCAAGCAGGAACTCGCCAATCCTCGGCCATCGTTGCTGATGTCGTAGCCCATTTCATCGGTGATCTGTTTCTTGTAGTAGTTCCACAGCGGCATTCGCCACACCCGATCGCCAGTGAGGGCTCCCGCGGATTGGAACTGCTTCCAGATATAGTGGGAATTGGAGAATATGCCAGTGGCACCGCCGCCAAAAGCCTTCTTCACACCCTCACCCATGGTGGCCACATCCACCACCAAACGGGGCTTATAGGTGCTCTGTCCATAGAGCAATGGATCCGCCATCACCACCACTCCAGCCTTGTCCAGATCTCGCACGGCCATGGATTTGTGATTCATCAGGGTGACCACATCGCCCGGTTTGCAGGCCATTCCCGAGGGCATATTCTCGCACAACGGGATGATGCAGCAGACATTGATGGGCAAGGATAGTGCCGCACAACACCGCATCATGGCCACACAAGCTGCCGCTCCCGACATGCAGGCCCTGTACTCATCCATTCCGCTGCATGGCCTCAGATTGATGGCCCCCGAATTGAAGGTGATGCCCTTGCCCAGGAACAGAATGGGCTTATCCTCCGGATTGGTGCCGCAATAGGTGATCTCCATCAGGACGGGTGGCTCACAGCTGCCCTTGGCGATCATCAGGAAGGAGTGCAGTCGCTGCTGTTCAATCCACTCCATGGTGCGGATCTCCACGGTGATGCCACAAGGACACAAGGCATCCACGGTGGCCTGGGCGAAAAGAGTGGGCGTCATGCAACACGCTGGCGTGTCACACATCCTGCGGGCCAGATTCTGGGCCTCGGCCTTAAAGACACCCCGGGTCCAGCTGTCGTAGTCGGGGGAATCGAACAGCTCCAGTTTGGGGATGTGTGGGGGTTTCCTCTTAGAGTTCATGTCGCAATACCGCCAAATGGCGAGGACGGCACCCTCGGCCGCCTGTTCGGCATAGTCCATGCCATCGACAAAGACCTCTGAACAGCCAATCTCCTGCAGCGAACGGGCTCCAATCCCAGCCGCCACACGGACATTCTCCATGCCCTCGTCCAACATCTCCAGTTCGTTGAAGCCAATGCCCTCGAGACCGACGCCAACCACAGCCAGACTGCGAAATTCGGGATCTATGTTGTTGAACACCTTGCCCCTTCCCAAACGACCCGAGATTTTGGACTCGCAAATCAGCTCCGTCAGTTTGCCATGCAGACGATCGTTGACCTTTTCGCCAGCTGGGGTTAATTTGGGATCCCTGTCGCCCTCTTTCTGGTAAAGACCAATCACCAGACCCTTGGAGACCTTCGATTCACCACCGCAGGCATGTCTAATTTGGATCACATGCGGCAGGCGACTCTGGACAACGGTCTTCACAACATTTCGCAGCTTGTTCATACTCGGTGGTATCTAATAAATCTTAATTATTATCTATTATCTATCTGCCTGCTCGGACCAATTTAGTTACGACTGCAAATTTCGTGTGCACCAAAAAAATGATTTTTTAATTATTTTGCCTTTTGTTAAACGGAGTATTCGGAATCTATCGCATAGAATGACTATTCAACAACTAAATTCACGAACATGAAACAATAGACACGAATCACAACAAATAATTTTGATGAAAAAATTATGTTTTTTTCTATATTTTCGAAACCGGACTAGGCACACGACACTCTCGAAGCAAGGGTTAAACTGAGGTTTTACTGGGGTTCCATCTGGGCAAAAAAATTTAACACTCGGAAGTTTGATTCAAGGGCTGCTTCATCGGTCATTACTTACATATTTATTTTATACGTGTATTTCGAAAATAAATGCTTTTTCAGATAAACATCATAATTTTATAAAATTAAAATACTATTTTTTAAGGTAACCATCAAAGTTTTATCAAATATAAATAGTATTTTTTATTATAGAAAGTGCCCAACTTTGATTAAATAAATTTAAAATATTAAATCTGCTTCAAAATCACGCTTATCATTTGGTATTTTCCATTCTACTTTTCTTCCTTTCGAAACTCTTACATTCACCTTAATCTGTTTAAAAAGATTCCCTTCCTTCGCTGAATATTCAATTAGTCCCATTATGATAATAATCTACTTGTTATTCAAGTGAGGAGATTGAATCCAAATGACAGCTGTTTCCTGAATAATGCTCGACCACATTGCATATTTTAAGGTGAAACTAATGGAGTCCAAATGATTTAAGCGGCTAATTAAACGAGGAACTTATCCCATCCGTAAATTTATGCAAATGTACTGAGGTGCTTATCTGGTTGATTAACGGTATGAAATTGCAGACCATTTGCGCTAAAGCAACAGCTGCCACATTTTAAAAATCCATAACCGCAATTGAAACTAGTTAATTGTAATACATGTTACACTTTATTTTCATATTTAGTTTGGACGTATATTCTGTAACTTGGTCAATTTTAAATGAATTTATTCATTCATACTGACTGTCTTTTAAAAAAGTTTTTTTTATTTTAAAAGTGGAAAAAATATACATTTATTTGTTATTATTTTCCCATTTCATTTTTTTTTTTTTAATAAGAGTTATTAATTTAGGAAATCCATGATTTTATAGCTTTAGAGCCCTTTTTTAGATTGCTCAACCTATAAAACAAACAATTCTTGTATGATCTTTTTACAAGACCCTAAATTAACTTGCTTAACGATGTCGCTGGAAAATCCACCGAAAACTTTTGCTATAATCGAATAGAAAACCACTTTTGCAAAGCCCTTTTGACGCTTCCTTGGAATCTTAAGCGATTCGCATAACTGTAAGCCAAGACAAGGAGATACAAGAAAATGTATGTCTATCTCTAAGCCAAGCACAGTTTTCCCTTAAAGTTGCCCGAATATTTGTTGTTTCTACTTCTGGTCCACAGTTGTGTTGGGTTGGCATTTTGAAGAACTTTTCGGCTTTGGTGAATCTGCAGGATGCCGCTCCGCCGGAACCATGTCATAAAATGGTGTTGATGATGTCTGTCTGAGTGTGGGTCCGCAAGTGAAACCCGTATGTGTCTATACTGGGGGTATTTCTGTATTAGTGTTGACAACATTTGCTGCCAACAATTTCATTACCGCCACATTTAAAGTTTTGCCAAGCACACATTGAAAATGAGACAGCAGAAGATACATCGCCGCCTAGATAGTGACACTGACAAAAAATGAATTTTATAACTGAGGAAAACATAGCTAAAAATAAAACTAAGGAAATTGAATTGCGCTCTAAGTTTATCAAAATTATAATCACTGTCAAATTTATTATGGTAGGGCTAACATTTTCTAACATTTTATATATAAAAAAACTGTTAATAATTTTAGTTGAAATTATTTTGTATTAATATATTAATAAAATATTTAAGCTTTTTGTCTGAGAGGGTTAACTATTTGAAAGCTTACATTTTTATTGGAATATTAAAACAGGATATTTGTAATATTTGAATAGTAATCATTTCGTGACTTAACTATTAAAGCAGGGAAATTAATTTATACCAGTTTGGTAACTCTAGAAATGTTAAAATTTTATGCTAGCTAACGTTTTACGATGTCGTTAAGCCTTAAAATGTATTACTCTTGAAATATCGATTATTTTGCAAGAATAAAGATTATATTTTGAAAGGAGGGCTCTCGTGATTTGAATTCCTATTTCCCCCAGTGCACCTGTATGTATGCCCTAGCCAAAACTCGCGTTCAACTCTCGCTTATGACTTAGCCTGGCAGTCGGTGCTGTTTCTATTTGTACACCAGTCAGGCCATCCATATCCAGTCCGGAATACCAGACCCCTGAACTCTGCCCTCTGAAATCCACTGGAGAGCCTGAGCTCGTTATAAATGGAAAACTTTGGCTGCTTTCTCAAGTGGTTTTTCTCTACGTTATATTTTTTTTGCCGCACTGTTTTTGGCTGTTGCTTTCAGCTTTGCAGTTCACATTTGATTCGGAAAAGTTTTTTGCGCTTGTTTATTTTACTTTTTAATGAGAGAGACATGTCGGGGAAATCGAGATCGCATGTCCCTCGTATTTGACGATTAGCCATGTGAAATGGTTGGTCAAGTTCCGTACTTCTGTGGAAGGAACAACTTTTCTGCCCCTATATATATACACATATATTCGGGCGATTTTCATGCCGGACCAAGTTCCCGGAAAAGTTTCAGGATAAATGGCGGTGCAAGGGGTGTGGAAATTTGTCAAGTGGCAATTTCAACCGGTGGCATGTGTCTGTGCAACAGTTGAACCCACATTCTTACTCATCGCAACGAGAGGTAGAATGATATCTACTTGTCAGCCAGTCTGCATAATATTGATTTCCCCAGCAGGGGCTTTCTATTTTGAATGACTCCCTCGACAGGACGACTTATGCACTTATCCTTGGTCCGATTCTAGTCCTTTGGCTATCTTCAATCTCGTTCTCTAGTGGCTGACTGGATAACACACAGTTTGAGTGTTTTTAATTTCTACTTTCCTTCACTGAGTGGGGATAGTCGGGGTATCGAAAGTCAGTGAAGGACCATCATCTGGCATTTGAACACTGGTCTTCTCTTGTTTTTCTGCTGCCCTTCTGGCCATTTGCATTCATTTGTTTGCTATTGAATGTGGAGCAATTCTTGTTTGCCTTTTTATTGAAAGTTGCAATCAAATGATTGCAGTATATGTCAGTGCCATCGACCCGCATTCTATTTATTTCTTGTATATTTTTTTTCGTCCCAATTTTGCGGCTTTTTCGCATCTGCATTTATTGGTTAGATTTTTTGGTTTTGTTAGCCAACTGACAAAAACAGGTCACAGATTTTGGTTCACTTAAAAACAGTTTGCAAGCTTTTGGCTTATCTAAAAATATATATTAGATAATGTCATTCATTTTTTGCTTTCACTTCCATGTTATAAAATATTGCATTTATTTGAAAGTTAATTGAAGGCAAGTAATATTTTATATTTTGAATCAGTAAAATAAAATTATCTTCGTTCAAAAAAGAGTAAAATTATATGTTAACTATATTTTAAAGCAAACTTACAATATAGTATATATATACTATATTTTCTTTTACGGGTTTTTAAACATTGTGTCACGAAAGAACTACAAACTTTGCAGTTAAGCAAAAGTTCAATGGTCCATTTTCCTAATAGAACTACAAATATACAGTCTAATTCATTTTCCCCCAATTCCCATCTAATTGCTTAATAAATCGGTTAGGCAAACTTTCTGCAGAGCTGCTTAGTCCGAAATTTCAAAGCTTTTTCTCTTTTTATTTCGCTTGACTAGAGTTTGGCAAATTCCAAGCAAATATATAAATAATTGAGTTATTTGAGGAAGGGCGAGGAAGGAAATTGGCAGAAACGAAATGTGCTCATCACTTAAATTGAAGGCAAATATGTAGTTGGATTTCCCCCTTCTGATTTTCCATCAGAGTCAAATTGAAAAGTTGCAGCTCTCGAACGAATTTGCAAGAGGGAAAAAGAACGAGAAAATGGCAGTCAAGGAAAAATCCTGGCTAACACATGAATATGTGCCAAAGTATGGGTGTGTTAGTCACAGTAATCTGCAGCTTAGTGGGCCAAATGGAATGATTTTCCCTTTCCTCAATTGAAAGGCAATCAAGAAGTCATCCAGCCTGGGGTGCATGCATCTGATTTTTTAATTGAAGCTTAAAGTTAATTGAAATTTATCATTAGTCTGATTGATTGAGATAAAGGCAGTGCTATATTTTCCTTTCATTTCCGTAGCATTTATCAATTTGCACTGTTCTGGCATAAGCCGATTATGGCCAAGGCCAGAATGAAAGCAAGCAATATGCCTGAGGAATTTCGTTTGGTCACGATAGCCCCAAGAAAAATGGGCCATGACGAAAATCTACTTGTCAGCAACTTTTCAAACAGAGAGTTGGCGAACAAGTCGGCATGCCCGAAGATTGAGTGAGACTGAAAATGGGACTAATTAATTTAAGGAGCTCTGACAATCAGCATCTGTTTGATTCTGGCTAGCACTTGGGGAACATCTATCATCTAGCATTTAAATCTCTACGAATTATTAATTAGATGTTGAAAGTAAATGCAAAATCACATAAAAACTGGACTTTACAGGAAAAAAAAACAAAATTTGCAAAAGTCTTTTTCGAAAAATGGGAAAAAAATTTTTTTTTTAATTTGAAAAGCGGTTTTATAATGGAAATGACGAAAAAATCGACCCAAAAATACAAAAAAAAAGTTGGGAACACAGATTTTTTGAGAATTAAACCACAATTATTTAGAGGTATGCCACTTTGAAATCGGAGGTCTGTAAGAAATGTTATGGTCTTAGAAGTGCAAGAATTGGGTCACTTTTCTGAAAAGCCATTTTTCGAAGATTTGAAAAGGGGTTTCCTCATGAAAAAGACGACAAAAAATCGTCCCAAAATTACAAACTAAGATTTAAAGATTAAAGATTTTTAAATTAAAACACAATCATTAAGAAGTAAGCCCTTTTGAAGAAATAATGTTATGGGCTTAGAAGTGGAGGTGATGATCAAGAACAGATTTACAGATTTATGCCCTTCACACCGTTACAAATATTTGACTTGGCTCTTATAACAGATTTAACGTTTCTAGAGGTGGTTCCTATGTGGTGGTTCCCACTACATGTTTTTAACCTTGATTATTTTTTAGCAGTGGGTATAGTATGATGTCCCTTACTATCTGTCTACTTAATA